TAGGATAAGGCTCACAAGCAATACCAAGAGCCAGCTTCATCCCAAAACAGGGATGCTCCAAGCATCCACTGCCCATGGGTAGGAGCATCCTCCACGCAGGGATGCCCGGAGCATCCCTGCCGCTCGCAGGAGCCATGGAACAAGCTGGGATTGGACTCACCACGATCCAACCGACCGCAATTCCCTCTCTGAGCCCCAAACCTGCCGGCAACAAGTTTTCCCTGCTGCCCCCAGGCTTTTGTATGCAGCTTTCAGCTCCCGTCCATCACGCTGAATGGCTCCATTCATCCCCCAGCGGCTGCATCCGCGCCGGGGGGATCCCAGCGGGTGCAAAGGGCTCATCCCACCCCGGCAGGAAAAATCCCACCGGCTCCAAGCCCCCCCCCCCCCGCCCCGAGCATCCTTGGACCTGGGGGACGTGACACGCGATGTGCACCCCGGGAAGAGGTTTGAACGGGTTTCTGCGTGTGTAAAACGCTTAAGAGTCCATCCAGGGTGTTGGAACGACGGGAGACGTCCCTGGAAGCCACCCTGGCGTGGGACTGCGGGTGAGGAGGGTCCTGCTGCTCCCAATGGACACGGAGCTCCTTATTTTGGTGGCTGCATCTCTGCATCCTGACGGGTGATGCTGCACCCAGGCTTGGGGGAGCACCAGGGCAGCGGCACGCATGGGACACCTGGGGGTCCTTTAACAGCCCAGGCAGCACCCATGGGACAGCAGCTCACCCGGCAGCATGGCCTGGCAGCCTCCCCTGCCCTCTGCCATGCTTCGTGGGGGGCTCCCCAGGGCACAGGAATCAATTCCCAGGCCCCAGGGACTGACCCCAGGGCTCAGGGATCGATTCCCAGGGCTCATGGATCAATCCCAGGGCTCAGGGATTGATTCCCAGGGCTCAGGGAGCGATCCCCAGGGCTCAGGAACTGATTCCCAGTACTCATGGATCAATCCCAGGGCTCATGGATCAATCCCCATGGCTCAGGGACTGATCTGCAGGGCTCAGGGAGTCATTCCCAGGGCTCAGGGATCGATTCCCAGGGCTCAGGAACTGATTCCCAGGGCTCGTGGATCAATCCCAGGGCTCAGGGAGCGATTCCCGGGACTCATGGATCAATCCCAGGGCTCATGGATCAATCCCCATGGCTCAGGGACTGATCTGCAGGGCTCAGGGAGTGATTCCCAGGGCTCAGGGATCGATTCCCAGGGCTCAAGGAGCGATTCCCAGGGCTCAGGGAGCAATGCACAGGGTGCCAGAGCTGCCAAAACCTAACCCCATAAAGAAGCCGTGGAATCGTGCATCACCATCACCATCACCATCATCACCATCACTCCTTCCTCATCCTCCTCCCTGGTACCTTCCCCATCCCATCCCATTGCCCCCTCAACCCAAGCCTGGAGAGACGGCGCAATCACAGCCTTCCTCTGCCCTTATCCCTCCTCTTCCTCCGGCTGGGATGCGCCAGGCGCTTCGCTCCGGGTTCCTCTTTTCCCTCCCGCTCCCGCCAGCGACTTCAAGGAAGGAAAACTAATGCAAAGCAGCTGCTGGGAATAGCAGCGGGATGATGAATGCGTGTTAAGTCCCCTTAACAAAACCAGGTCTGATGAGAGTCGCCCGGAGCACTTACTTCATTGCTTTCATTTGGGAATCGTGTTGGAAAAGGGAGGGAGGAGGGAGAAGCTGGGGGGGGGGGTTAGTGGAAACCTCCTGTAGGTCTCATTTAGCCCCTCCAAGCAGACCTCAGGGTAATTAGCCGAATGGCATAATTAAGGAAGAGACACAAAGGGGCCATTGTGTGCAGAGGCTCAACAGGGGAAACTGAGGCACAGGCTGGGGTTGCTGCAGGGAGGCACGCGATGGGCACGGCTGCTGAGCAAAAGAAGCCAAAAAGTGGGAAAAATCCTTTGGTTTTCCTTCCGATTTCCCAGGTGGGGACAGAAACTGGGAGGGGGGGGGGGAATCCCAAAGAAACCAGTGAATACCAAGGAAGTGCCCGGAGCCCAACCAGCGATGGATGCTGAGCCCCCTGCATCCCAACACCTCCATCCCACATCCCGCCGGAGCACGAGCCAAAGCCCTTCCCGCTCTGGCGGAGCCTCCGGCAGCACCCGCCCGGCTTTGGGAACAAGCCCTTTTCTTGCCAAAAACTCGGAATTTGAATCATTTTCCTTGGCAGCCGCGCGGGGCCAGGATGGATTTTCCTTTGCAGACAGATCTGCCTCTGTCCCGCGCCGGGATCGGGAGCTGGGCTCGGGAATGGCAGGGACAAAGCCAAAAGGAGCCCAAGTGATGCTTTTCTCCCTCGTTTACTTGAGGGCCACAACCCAGCGATGCATTAATGACACCAGAGCATGGATGACTTCGGCACAGGGAGCTGGTTGGGTGCCTGGGCTGCATCTAAATCCTTGCCTCCAGACTGGAATTCCTGGGATTAAACTCCTTGTTTTGGGACGGAACCACGACAACCCCATGTGAGGTTGGTCAATACCAATGCATGGTCCCGGCTTCTCCTCCCTGGTGGTGCTGTGCCTGGTTTGGGGATGCTGAGTGTCCGGTTCCATCCCTTTCCCAACCTGGAGGAGGACATCCCAGTCTGATTTTGCTCCACTATGGATCCCGCTTGTTCCAGGGTTGGGATAAAAGGCACCAGCTCCAAATGATCCTGATGGGATGGATCCAGTGTGGCGGCAACAGGGGTTTGCATCCATTCCACTCATGGTGCCCAGACCTTTTCCTTCCCATCCGGCCTTGGGTAGCTTCCTATTTTGGGGAATTGAGGGGTGATGATCCCAGGGAGCCAAACTCAGCCTCAGGAGTCCTCAAATCCTGATTCCCGGTGCACCCATAGGGAAAACCAGGCTAAAATGCTGCCCTGAATGGCAATGCCAGCATTAGATCCTGCCAAATTCCAACCCCACCTTAGGGAGGCCTCAAAATATCCCAGAACAGCGATGCCGGGGAGCGAGAAATCCCAAATTCCAGAGTCCTGAATGGAACCAACACCGGTGATATTGGAGTGGATTAACCCAAAGAGCTGGAGCGTCCCGTGGCTTCAGTGCCCAGCAGCTTTGCACAGGGATGGAGGCGCTGCTCCTTGTTTAGGCATCGCGTTTCCACATCCCAAACTCATTTTCCAGGTTTCCAGGTATTTGGGAGCACGAGAGATGCAGAAGCAGCCGCTTGCCTGCTTGTTCATCCCAAAAAGCTCATCCAGTGGTTTAGCTGCTGCCGTGGCTGTCCCAGCATCCCCCGGCACAGAGATTCTTGGGATTTGGGGATTTTCCCCTCCAAAATCTTCCCTTTCCTCACTCGGAGCAGTGCGGTTCAAGCCGCAGCCCCCCCCGGGATGCCGTGGCCACCGGGATGGCCGGATCCCGCGGATCAGCTCATTTCCTCCAATGGCTGCAGGGGGGAAAAAGAAGGAAACGGGAAAACAAAAAGCTCCCGGGGCTGCTCCCGCCACCCTGTGCCGCACGTGTCCGGTCTTGCCTCGAAGCTTCCCGGGATGAGGGTGGGTGGTGCCTGGATGCGGAATGGGCTCGGGATGCTGCGCCCCATTGGCTCCAGGATGCAGGATCGAGGATGATGTCCCAGCCGAGCTGGCATCCCAGGATCCAGAGGATGGGGTTTGCCGAGTGGTGCAGAGCTCGGGGGGGGGGGGGGGTTATTCCATGAAACGGGATACGGCGCAGCACATTTCCCTTTCCAGACACCTCCTGGTTGCAATGAGACGCAACGTGCACCCCCAAAACCCCCTCCAGTTTGCCCCTACTGCGATGCTTCTGCACTCAGTCAGTGCCCCAGGCTCAGCTCTGCATAGGACCCAGTGGGATTCGGCCCCAATCCGGGGCTTTCCCATCCCCACTCATCCCCCAACAGGCTCAGCATCAACACCCGGGATGCAACAGCAGCTCCTCTCCCAGCTCCTTTTAATTAATCTCCTTTTCTGGGATTCATTAAATCATCGTTAGCGGCCAGGTTCTACGAATCCCAGTCCCTTTCCATTATCCCGTTTTCCTTGCCGGTATTTGGGATCGTGGCCAGTTGTGCATCATCTCCAAAACGTATTCAGACCAAAAGTGACAAAGTGGGGATACAACCTTTATCCCGCTCCCGGCCAGCAGTCGAACTCGGGAGATTTCTCTAACACACCCCCTGTCCTCATCATTCAAACCAGTTACTTCCAATAAATCCCAAAGAAACCCCAAACACACAGAAAACTCGCCACACGACACCACTGGGAAGCCGGACCCCAACCGGGCTTTTAAGCCATTTGAACTGCACTGTTTTTTGCCCTCCTTTCCGTATTATATATGGAAACGCAGCTTCCAACAGGGCAAAGGATGGGCTTTGAACTCTCCGGTGCCACCGAGGGAGAAATCCACCCGGAAAACTGCGATGCTGCAGCCGGGATTGACGGGTACCATAGCACATCCCTTCCCGGGATGGGGAAACTGAGGCAGGGAACGGGGTCCTGTGGCTAAACCCGGTTTAACCCAGTGTCCAAATTCACTTTGGAGCTCTGAATTCACTTCGAGTTTCTCAGTGAGGCTCATGGCCATGGCCCAGGCTGGAGTTTGGGATGCTCTGGGTGCAGAGGGGTGATGCTGAGGTGTGGGGGGAGGTCAATCCCGTTCTCCTTTGTACCCCCCCCCCCCTTTTCCCCTCCCCAAATCCTCACTCCATTTGCTTAATCACTTTCCTAAGGGCCAGACAATGTCAGCCCATTGAGAGCTCCAACATCAGCCCATTGAGAGCTCCAACAAGTAGGTTTTCAATGAGAAAAGAGGCGCAGCTCAGGGTCAGGTTTCAGGGCGAGGACCCCCCCCCAGACTCACCGACACCCCCGGGGGGTCCCTATACCCGCGAGGGGGCAAACCAGCTCAATGTAAGGGGAATGGACCCCTCGGGGGTTGCCAGCATCAGGCGGTTGCTTCCCTGCAGGGAAGTGGGGTTTGAGCATCCCAGAAAGGGTCTTGGGGGGGGGGCCGGGGGGACACTTACGGTGCGGGCGCCACCGGGGGACAGGGCTCCGTTGGCGAGGTAGGGGCTGCCCAGCTCGGGGAGCATCAGGAAGGGGTAGCCGGGGTAGGGGGGGCCCTTAAAAAACCCCCCATCTTGCTGGCGTCTGACCACTGGTGAGAGAAGGAAGGGGGGGGGGTCAAGAGGGGGTGGAATCGGGGGACACACACGGGGGATGGGGGTGCTCCCATGGTGGGGGGAAAGATGGGAGCATGGGGGGGTTAGGTGAAGGTCCCTTTGGGAGTGCTGAAGTCCCCTGGGGGGGGGGTCCTTGGTTCTTCTCGAAGGGGGGTCCCACTTGGGGGTCCCAGGTAGGTCCCGCTGGGGATGCTCAAGTCCCTCGAGGTGGTCCTCTCGGGGCGGAGGGGGGGGGCACCCAGGTCCCTCAGGGGGGTCCTTGGTTCTTCGGGGGGGGGGGGGGCGCAGGGGGGGGGAGGGGCGCAGTTCCCTTAAGGGGGGGAGCCCATTTGTGGAGGTGGGGGGCACTGGGCTGGCGGCGAGGGGCGAGGTGTCCTGGACCGATCTCCCCCCCCCCGAGGGGGTCCTCGGCTGCACGGGGGGGTCCTGGGGGACGGCTCCGCGGTGGGGGTGGACACGGATCCATCCGTGGGAAGCGATCGGGGGCCGGTTAACGGGGGGGGGGGGAGTAGGGCCCTGGGGGCCGCGATCGCTGCGGGGGGGCCGCCGCCAGGACCGGTTCCTCCGGTGGAGGGGGGCCCCGACACAGCGGGGGGGGGGAAACGGGGGGGGGGGTGGACAGAGGGGGGATGACCCGGGGGGGTTGGACGGGCACCGAGAAGGGGTTGGTTGGACGGGGGGGGGGGTCCCGGGGGTCCCGCCCGCAGCCGGGGGCGGAAACAAAGAAGTTGCGAAGTGTCGGATGGTCCCGGGGGGATGCGGCGGGGGCCGGGACCGGGAGCGGGGCCGGGGCCGGGGGGGGATCGGGCCGGGGGGAGCCGGTACCTTCTGCCAAATAGTCCCGCGGCTTCTGGAAACTTTCCCGGGGCTGCGGGGGCCGCTCCGCCTGCGGGGAGAGCGCGGTGAGCGCGGCCGGGAGCGGGTCCCACCGCCCGCCGCGGCCCCCGCCGCCCCCCGGCCTCACCTCGGGGTCGGAGCCGGAGCCGGAGCCGGAGCCGGCGCCGCGGTTCTCGGTCTCGCTGACCAGGGAGGACTTGAGCTCGTCCAGGTCCCCGTGGGCCGAGCCGCGCCCCGCGCCCTTGTCCTGCTCCTCGCCCTCGTCCTGGAAGGCGATGAGCTCGTCGGGGGCCCCCAGGTCGTCCCCGGCCGCGGGCTCCAGCTGCGGCATGGTGGGGGTCCGGCCCCGCCGCCCCGCTCCGGCCCCGCCGGGCCCCGCCGCCGCCGCCGCCGCCGCCGCCCGGGAGGGTCGGGAATGCGCGGGGCGGCGGGGGGAGGAGGAGCCCGGCTGCAAACCGACACCGCGGGGCAGGGCAGGGCGCTCGCACCGCCCCGCGACCGGCCCCGCCACCGGCGAGCGCCCGACGGCGGGACCCGGACCGGGCGGGGCAGCGGCGCCACGTCCAGGGGCCCGGAGCCCTCCCTGCGGCTCCCCAGCACGTCCAGGGCTCCCCAGCACGTCCAGGTCCCCCCCATCCCATCTGTGTTCCATCCAGGGGCTCCCCGGTACGTCCACGGTGTCCCCTGCAGGGCCAGGGCTCCCATACTGTCCAGGACCCCCCATCCCATCCAGGGTCCCCCCATCCCCTCTGTGTTTTCCCCATCCTGCCCAGGTCCCCCACCCTGACCCTGTCCCTGCAATCACACCCAGGGCCCGTCCTACACAGACAGGGCTCCTATTCTGGGAGTCCCTCATCCCATCCAGGTCCCCCTATGCTATCTGTGTTCCCTCATCCTGCCCCGGTCCCCCCCATCCTGTCCAGGGCCCCCCATCCCATCTGAGTCCCTCATTCCCATCCAGCACACCCCATCCCATCCAGATCCCCCGCCATCCCATCAGTGTTCCACTTTTCCATGGTCCCCCCATACCATGTGCTCCCCATCCCATCCAGGCTCCCTCTATCCCATCCAGACTTCCTCTACCCCATCCAGCGTGCCCTATCTGAGGTGCCTGTGTCCCACCCGGGTACCTCCATTCCATCCAAAGTCTTCCCATCCCATCAGAGGAACTCCTCATCCCAGCTGGGTACCTCCATCCCACCCAGCACACCCCATCCCATCAGAGGGACTCCTCATCCCAGCTGGGTACCCCCATCCTTGTCCTTACCCTGCCCCATCCCATTCAGGTGCCCCCCTCCCACCTCGGTGCCCCTGTTCCACCGAAGGTGCCCCCATCTGCCAGGGTGCCCCTGTCCTGCTGGGGTGTCCCTATCCCATTTGGATTCCTCCACGGAATAGGAGACCCCCCCATCCGCAAAGGCTGATCCTGTCCCTCCGGAGTGGCCCCATCCCACCGAGGAAGCCCCATCCTACCCCTGTGCCCCACCAAACCTGAGCATCCCCATCCCACCAGGGTGTCCGTGTCACCCTCACCAGTGGCCTTGTTCCCCCATGACAGGGACACAAGGGTGGGATGGGTGCCCACCCAGCACCCCCTTAGGTGAACCCAGCAGGGCCTCATCCAGCACCTCCAACCAGCTTCACCGTAGCCATCACCCTCAGCCTGGCCGTGACCCCCAGGCTCCAGCCGGAATTCCCACCTCCCCGTTTCACTGGCACAGTCCTGGATTCCTGCTCCCAGGAGCCCCAGCCCCAGCGCTCCCTGCCAGCCCCACAAAGGTCCTTCAGTTGCTTTGCCTCAAAGACTCCATGAAAAGGCTTTTGTAACGTCGGGATAACTGGTGACCCCAGTCCCCCCGGCCAGAGCTCCTCAGGGAATAGCGGGAAGCCCGGCCCCGCTCCCAGCCCTCCAGATGTTTAATTACCCGGCTTTTAATGAACCTCATCCATGTGCTGAATAGGGAGTTCAGAGCTGCCCCTTCCCAGGCAGATCCATGCTCTGGGGTTCGGGAGAGCCCGGATGTGTCCGGGGGCTGCTAAAAGAGAGAAATAATCAGTGAAATCCTTGTTTTTTTCCAGCAGTCTCCCAGCTCCAGTGTGAATCCATAAAGGAGCAAGGGGAGATCCATGGCATGGAGGAGATGACGGTGGGACAGGAGGTCCACGGGACGGAGGAGGTGACAGTGGGATGGGAGGTCCACGGGACGGAGGAGGTGACGGTGGGACGGGAGATCCATGGGATGGAGGAGGTGACGGTGGGACGGGAGATCCATGGGATGGAGGAGGCGATGGTGGGACGGGAGGTCCATGGGATGGAGGGGTGATGGTGGGACGGGAGGTCCATGGGATGGAGGGGTGAGCTGGGACGGGAGGTCCATGGGATGGAGGGATGAGCTGGGACGGGAGGTCCACGGGACGGAGGAGGTGATGGTGGGACGGGAGGTCCATGGGATGGAGGAGGTGACGGTGGGACGGGAGGTCCATGGGATGGAGGAGGTGACGGTGGGACGGGAGGTCCACGGGACGGAGGAGGTGACGGTGGGACGGGAGGTCCATGGGATGGAGGCGTGATGGTGGGACGGGAGGTCCACGGGACGGAGGAGGTGACGGTCGGACGGGAGGTCCACGGGACGGAGGAGGTGACGGTGGGATGGGAGGTCCATGGGATGGAGGGGTGAGCTGGGACAGGAGGTCCACGGGATGGAGGGGTGAGCTGGGACGGGAGGTCCACGGGATGGAGGGGTGATGGTGGGACCAGAGGTCCATGGGGTGGAGGGGTGATGGTGGGACGGGAGGTCCATGGGATGGAGGAGGTGACGGTGGGACGGGAGATCCATGGGATGGAGGAGGTGATGGTGGGACGGGAGATCCATGGGATGGAGGAGGTGATGGTGGGACGGGAGATCCATGGGGTGGAGGGGTGAGCTGGGACGGGAGGTCCATGGGATGGAGGAGGTGACGGTGGGACGGGAGGTCCAGGGGATGGAGGAGGTGACGGTGGGACGGGAGATCCATGGGATGGAGGGGTGAGCTGGGACAGGAGGTCCATGGGATGGAGGAGGTGACGGTGGGACGGGAGATCCATGGGATGGAGGAGGTGACGGTGGGACGGGAGGTCCATGGGATGGAGGGGTGAGCTGGGACGGGAGGTCCACGGGATGGAGGAGGTGATGGTGGGACGGGAGGTCCATGGGATGGAGGAGGTGATGGTGGGATGGGAGGTCCATGGGATGGAGGAGGTGACGGTGGGACGGGAGGTCCATGGGATGGAGGAGGTGATGGTGGGACGGGAGGTCCATGGGATGGAGGGGTGATGGTGGGACAGGAGGTCCATGGGATGGAGGGGTGAGCTGGGACCATCGGACACCCCAGGACCCTCAGACACCCCAGGAACCTCAACCACCCCCAGAGCCTCGGCGGCTCCAGGACCTGTGGCTGCCCCAGGAGCTTCAGCTTCCCTGGAATCCTTGCATAAGGTGGGGGCTCCAGGCAAAACTTGGCAAGTTGGAAACTGAGGAAATCCATGGGAGCCTGGAGCGAGAGGGCTGGATTCGGAGCGGCTCTGTTGGACCCCTGGAATTGGGGGGCACTGGGGCCATGTCTGGGTGTCTTGGGGTGCAGGGTGTGGGGCCACGCTGCGGGTTGGGGACCCCTGGGGTTGAGATGGGACAGGGGACCCCGAGAACCACCCCAAAAACTGCTCTGGGATGGGGCTCCCCAAAACCTGGGTTGAGACGGGGTCTCCAAGAGCCGTCGGGGGATGGGGAGCCCCGAGAGCTGCCCCGGGAGGGGGGCCCTGCAGACTCGCCCCATGCCAAGGTCCCCATGAACCCCCAAAGGACGGGGACCCCGGGGGTGGGCTCCGAGCGGGGGAGCGGGGAGGGGCGGGGCAAGACGTTGGGGGGCGTGGTCTGCAGTGCCGTCATGGGGCGGGGCGATTGAGGGGGGCGTGGTCTAGAGCTCAAGGGGCGTGGTTTAATGAGGGGCGTGCAGTCCAGGGGCGGGATCATGTATTGGGCGTGGCCTCGAGGCCAAGGGGCGGGGTTCTCCGAGGGGGCGTGGTCTGGCGCTGCAGGGGGCGGGCCGGGCCGGGGCGGTTCCGGGGCGGGCCCGCGGCAGCGCGGCGGGGCGGGAGCTGTCGGTGTCATGGCGCTGAACCTCGGCAAGAACGGGCGGGCGCTGCAGGAGGCCTACGGGCGGGTGGTGGCGGTGGGGAGCCCCACCGACTGGTGAGGGGCCGGCGGAGGGACGGCTGGGTCCGCAGCGGGAGATTGAGGGGGCCTGGCAGGGATGGGGGGGTGATGGGGGGGGATGTGGGGTTCATGGGGGGGGATGGGGGGGATGTGGGGTGCATGGGAGTGATGGGGGGGATGTGGGGTGCATGGGGGTGGGGCGGATGTGGGGTGCATGGGGGGGGATGTGGGGTGCATGGGGGGGGATGTGGGGTGCATGGGAGTGATGGGGGGGATGTGGGGTGCATGGGGGTGGGGGGAATGTGGGGTGCATGGAGGTGGGGGGGATGTGGGGTGCATGGGGGTGGGGGGGATGTGGGGTGCATGAGGGTGATGGGGGGATGTGGGGTGCATGGGGGTGGGGGGGATGTGGGGTGCATGGGGGTGGGGGGGATGTAGGGTGCATGGGAGTGATGGGGGGGATGTGGGGTGCATGGGGGTGGGGGGGAGGTGGGGTGCATGGGGGTGGGGGGAATGTGGGGTGCATGGAGGTGGGGGGGATGTGGGGTGCATGGGGGTGGGGGGGATGTGGGGTGCATGGGGGTGGGGGGGATGTGGGGTGCATGAGGGTGATGGGGGGATGTGGGGTGCATGGGGGTGGGGGGGATGTGGGGTGCATGGAGGTGGGGGGGATGTGGGGTGCATGGGGGTGGGGGGGATGCGGGGTGCATGGGGGTGGGGGGGATGCGGGGTGCATGAGGGTGATGGGGAGGGATGTGGGGTGCATGGGGGTGATGGGGAGGGATATGGGGTGGGGGGGGATGTGGGGTGTATGGGGGTGGGGGGGATGGGTGCATGGGGGTGGGGGGGATGTGGGGTGCATGAGGGTGATGAAGGAAGTGGGCTGCATAGGGGTGGGTGGGGATGTCGGGTGCATGGGGGTGATGAGGAGGGATGTGGGGTGCATGGGGGTGGGGGGGATGTGGGTTGCATGGGAGTGGGGGGGATATGGGGTGCATGGGGGTGATGGGGGGAAGTGGGGTGCATGGGGAGGCTGTGGGATGCATATGGGGTCTGTGGGGGTGCTCCAGGGGCTTGTAGGGTATATGGGGAGGTCTGAGGAGGAGTGGGTGGTAGAAGTGGACCCGGGATAAGGAGGTTTGGGGGTGGCTGGTAGGGTTTGGGGGGTGCATAGGGGAACGTTTAAGGCTTGGCTGGTGCCTCAGTGGGGCTGTGGGGCG